GTTTGTAAATGCCCTTTTCCTTTAGTGATTCGATCGTCGGACGATTGCGGAAGAAGCGCACCAATCTTTCGAGAATGCCTTGCTTCGATTCAGAGAGCGTTTGTGAGGGTTGGATGCGTAAGTCAAGTCCTAAAAAGGACAGCGAGTTAAAGAAGCGACACAACGATTTAGACTGTCAGTTGGCATACTTATTAGGTTTAAAATTTACTATTTCCGCAAAATCACCAAAGAATCTCGCATTCATGCGTAAATCAGGTAAACACGGCTGTAAATTAAAAAATTTAAAAAAATGAGGTCACGGAAGAACAAAATCTTCGTAGACCGTCCGCCAAACTATGGTCACACAATCAGAACAACCAGAAAATTTTTATCGTTGAAATTCTTCCGGTTGTTCCGAAATCAAAAGTTCGAACCGACAGCAGAGCTCAAAAATCTGACTTGGACTCTAAGTCGGTATAACGGTGCGGTAGGGATATGCACTTCGACAATCTGCGTTTCTCGACAAAGCATCTGATCCACCATGACTTCACGGAGTCCGGCAACCTTAATAACGGTACATATTGGATACCTCATACTCGCTAAGCCTCAAGTTTTCATCAAATATGTTAAAACAGATTGGCTTTTTTGTTAAGCTAACAAAAAAGATCTTTTTTACAATAGCAGCCATCAACTACAGCATTCGGTTGGAGTATTAACCTGTTTACATCAAAAGACTCAGAATTCTCATCTCGGGGAGCGGGCAACTAATCAAGCAATGGTAACCAGGATCGACAGATCTTATTCTGATTTTAAAGACTTAAAGATATAAGGGTAGGACAAAGGCCGGCGGCAAACTGTAAACCACCGTCCGCATTAAAATACCAAGCACTGTCAAAACTGACAATGACCACACCATTTCAAGTTAAAATTGAGGAATACGACCCTTATGAAAGGAGCGAGTGAACCAGACGACGCCTAGGTAGACGCAAATGATAATACAAGCTAACCTTTAAGGTTGATTAAAACCTGGAAATCTGTAAAATCCGACAAACGGCCTTCTTGGACCGAATAGCAAATTAATTTCAGTAGATACCGGTACAAACAGATTACAACTCTGGATGTCAACGTATACAGTAAAAAGCAATAGCTTTTCGTGATCTCGCTAAAACAATAAATTTTAACGTTTTAACAGCTATTGAAAGGGAGCCACGTTATGTTTATATTTCGTAAAATTAAACTTAAATTTTCAAGATTTTTCTGAAATCCTACTTTTCACCCTTGAACGTCGCATATGTTTGACAGTACAGGTATAAGCACAAAAGACTGCAAATTGTTCCTTATTTGAGCTTGCCTGCCTATTCTGCTAAGCTCTTTTGTGTATATATATATATAATGCTAATTTATGCTTTACAATTTTTATGCTAATTTCGTTAGCAAATATAATCACGTAAAAACTACCTACTGGAATTCCGAACGTCACGACCCTTAATAGACGAAGCTGTGGAGCACGGAACAACGGTGTCCTTAATGGAATTTCTTCCCATTTGATAACCTCGTCGACCAGGTTGCTAAAATATTAATGTTAACAGAGGCATGCACAACAGTCTCGGTAAGGAACAGAAATTAAATCAAATCTAAAATGGAAGAAAGAAAGATGAGTAACCTTTGGGATGTCAATCAATTATACTTCCTTGATGGGCGTGCGGTAACTGTAAGCCCTTCTGTCATAGCCTCGAACCTGCGGCGTCAAGCCACTTCGAACTTTCTTTCAAATTTCATTTAGGTTAGCAACTGGCGGATTACAAAGCACAGAATATATCGGTTGAAAAAAGAACTAACTGGTAAACGGAATGAGGTCACAAGTGAAAGTTCAGGGCCATGCACAGCCACAAAGGGAATTACACTGAAATCAACTTTGGGGAGGTTTGCAGCGATTATTCTTGATCTTTTAAGGTGATGACTTTAAGTTCATATTCTACTAATCGCGGCCAAATTTTAACCCTTCAGTATTGCATGGTATTCAGCAATTTAAACGCACTGGCATATTCATGACCACTATGCCAGATCCAGGGAAATGAACGATATATGAAGCCGAAATCTTTCGAGTGTGCGTCCTATGTTTTAGAAAATTAATGGCAAAAATAAATTTTATAGATTAAACTTTATCAGTTTTGAGGCTTTGTTCATGTGCTTAGACAGTGATACCAAAAATATGAAACATTATTGACATATTTGTCATCGTCCTCCCCATCATCATCGTTAGCAGTAAAAATTAAAGTTTTTGACCTTTATAGTAGATTCTTGGAATTGATTTTACTGCAGATTCATGTCTCCAGCTGACCAACAGAATTTCTTCTTCCTACCTGGTATTCAGTTATCGATTCAAACTCACTCATTCAGGCCTGCAAAGATTTTAATTTTAAGTAAGTGTCTTGGCTCTGACCCATGCTCCTGATAAAGAGCCAAAAATCAATTGAAAGGACATACGCAGTCAGCTTTCAATGCTATTCTTTTTCGATCAAGGGTAATGTATTCGATAAAATAGACATTAAGAATTATCCAGTATAAAATACAGAGATCACAGACTATTATACATTGCCTTATTAAACGATCTAATACAGTGCTGGATTCAGCGCTGTTGTTAACAGCATATAGTCTTAATTCTCTACATGCATTTTATTATCACTGCCATTTTCAATCCACTGATGGATGAAAGTCTCTCCAAGACTATACAGTAAACTTCTATCCAGCATGTTCCACTGGACTACTTCAGTTCATCATCCCACTGGAACCCAGGTTAATGTTTCTATGGCCTAACAATGATCCGTTTTTGCCACGTGTGTTGCCCCTTGTCACTTTATCTTCTCCACTCGTACAAAGAAATCGCAGACTCTTGCTAATGCTCTTTCCCTGTCGTGCCCTGTCTATTTCTTCCTGTTATTTCCAGCATACATCATTCTGCAGTGCATCGGTACTTCAGCAGTTTATGAATAAATTTGTCTTATAGCCCATGTTTCGCACCCATGAGTTAGTACTGGAGCACCAACTGATCAGAAACGTTGCGTTTAATGCAAAAAGGCAGGCCCCAAAATAGAAACATGTTCAGTCTTCCAAAAGTGTTCCATACAAGTTTTGTTCATTGTTGATTTCACAGAGACGGTTCTCCGTTGTAGAGATGAGCTGTCTCAGGCAGACGTAGTTTTGCAACATTTTATGCTTACGACAGACCGCTGTCGACCGCTGACTTCAACAGATGGCGCGGTCAGGCATTTGTTATACATGGCTTGAGTCATCAACAGGTTTATTTTCAGTTCCGCTACGAAAGTGGTTTGAGAACATCGTCAACAAATTGCCGGTGGCTTAAGTGCCGGTCCCCGCTTATTTTCAGCCGCTAATTATTACAGTGAAGCGCTTTGAAAAGCTCTCGATGGTGCTGTGAATAACTTCGATGATACTGCATCCTTTGTCGAATGTCCTTTTCCATTCTGAAGTTGTCTGCGCTTTCGCAAAGCTTCTCACCTTTCAAATAGAAACGATGATGTTCTTGCAACATTTTTCGATTCCCCTGCTCCTTAAGGAATCTAATACTGACCGACCAGGTATGGACTGAGTCGAAATCGATGAACCCCATATAGCATTTAACTTACAGGCACCTAACCTTATTTACCTCATCGAAAAACGAGTTAGATAAATCAATGACTGTCATAAACATTAAATAATTCTCACCAACTTGGCGATGGCGTCTGATAAAGCCGTGTACCACTTGATGATATCGACCTCACTTTCGGAGCAAAACAGATAGGAAGTGCCGTCGAGGAGGCTCAGCTGAAACACGCGCTTCCGCCGTCCCTTTTCGTCCTCGATCCATCGCAGCCTCGACTTATCCAGCTCACAGACGTTTAGCGGCGGTTCGTACTGGTTCTCCTTCTTCTGTGCACGCAACCAAAACTGAGGTAGAGCCAGACAAGCACTGACGCGTCGTTCGTAACCTACCTCGCTTGATTTCTTGTCTTTGTAAAATATCAGATGTGCCTGCGTCAAGAACACGTAATGTGTCAACCAGTGTTTTCTAAAGTAACAGCATCATCTTAACATCATCATCATTAATCATCTTAGCAAAATCAAACTATATATATAGTTTATATACAACAGGATTTAAACTGAGTTTGCACCATATCAACTT